CCCAAATCGTTTCTGGCATCAACACCAGAATAGAAGGATAAGGTCACCCCCTCCAAATGCTGATAATGTTAAGTTCAGAATTTTGCTTTTACTTTTTTATTATACTGTACATGCATTGCACTCTAAAGAATCCTTGTAAAATGACATGCCATGTTACTTTTTTGTCATTTTACTTCAGCCAACATAAAAGAAATATTAAACTGGTATTATTATTAATTCATTATAATATTTTTAACATAATGGTGATGAATCTGGTTGGAGGACTCCTTGTGAATTTTTGAGCCTCAAACAGACTCTGTAATAGCTACTGCTCACCAGCAGTTCATTCATCTGTCTGTGGTCAGCCAGATGACACTAGTTGCTGCTAGTCGCTTCCAGTCTGGACGCCTGTTATACCAACGCTGCGAATGGCCTTTTCAATTCTTGTTGACATGAAACACAAAGAAATCTCTGAAACTAAGATGTGGCATGTGTTAGTTTACAGCTTGTTTCTACAGCCCACCAAATCAACATTCAAGATCAATGCCTAATTACTAATTGACATAATAAGCTTATTATTTATGTTAGAATGAATACATAATGTCATAATATTATTAGATGTCTTCCTATATTTTTCCACAGAGTATTGAAGTCAAATATTACTAAATGGTATGCTCATAAACTTCTTGGAAAAAACAAAACCAGGCTGTTTTCCATTTTTTACAATGTGCTTTTCCTGACTATACTAACAATCACATTATATCATATCCTGTCAATTAGACCCACCCACTCAAAAGTCTTTATAACCCCACCCTTGACCCCCTAACCACTGGAATTAAAACAAAGTGGGTCCTCTAAGTTAAACGTTTGTGAATTTATGTTATTAAGATTTAATGTTAAAAGAACTGGATGGATGGATGGTTTAAATATGCACATAACATCAAATGTTCTGTTAACCAATGGAATCCATTTTTATTCAAATATTTAAAAGAAACTCATCTGGATCTGCACCAAAATGCTCCTTAAATCCCCTCTCCACCAAGTGTGATGAAATATCTGCTTGGCAGTCATTCGTATAATCTTGCTGACAAAGAGACAAACAACTTGCAATGATCCTTTGCCTTGGAGATGGAACAAAAAACAATACAAAATATAAGTCAGACAAATTCAAAAATTCAAATAAAAAAAAAAAACAGTTTCCTTGTAAATATGCTATTTGAAAATTGCTTACTTGAATGTACAACTTATTTGCTGAGTTTTAAAATACAGTATATTGATATCTCCAACAATAACTGGAAGGAAACTGTGTAGTGCAAAGGTTATACGGTGTTTCAAGTGTAAATTGAGACTAATAAAACCAACGTCTCACAAATGCACACAGTAAGGATGAGATAGGGACTGGTGAGGACTTTGAACATTTCTGCAGCTCTCTTTCATCTGCAGTCAGTTTTTTATCTAAAGTGAGGCAGTGTAATGTGCTGTTAAATGGCAGCTTTAACCACCTCTCTGCCTCTCTGTCATTAGCATAGCGTAGGAGGAAGAGCTGATTGAGTGGCCAGTTGGCAGTCAGAGAGAAATTTCTTTTCAGAATCTTTGTTCAAGTTCTGCATTTGCACGAGTAAAATAAATAAATAAATCACCATCTCATCAACATCCACCTCCACCTCTGATTTATAATGATGTGGTCTCTGATTTTTTTTTTCATATCTCCATATTAAACAGATGTGCACAGGAGCTTGGAGGCTTAAATAAATCATTTTCAGGGAAGAACTTCAATAGATTTTACCCAGAACTAAACACAACAAAGAGAATGAAACCCAACCAAACCCCCATAATAAAGGAACAGATGACGCAAGAACAATTCAGTAGACTGCTATTTCAAGCAGACCCTTTGTTGATTGTTGGAGATTCAATTAAATTCAAGACAGATTAAATTTAATGTCTTTTAACTGAACATAAATCAAAAGAAGTGCCCAACCAGAGGGTCAAGACTCCTCTTGGAAGTCCCCAAATAAATCTGAGTAAAAAAAATATAACTACTACTCAATAATATTGGCTTTTTCTAACTTTTCTCCATAAATTTTTATTTCATTCACCAATTCATCTTGTACTTGTACTATGTCTGGGTCTCAGGGACAGATGTCCAGACCTCCCTCTTCCAAGATGGTCATACCCAAAACACCTCACCAAAGAGGTACCTTTGTCATGTTTTAATCTTTAATTTTACTTTAAAAATATTCATAATAAAAAGTACCATCCATCTACCAACCTGTCCAGTTCAAGGTCACAGGAGGGCTATCACAGTCATGGGTTGAGAGGTGGACAGGTTGCTAATGTGTTGCAGCATCCACTTTCTTATTGTTTGTATTTACTACAAGGTAACAAAACTCAGGAACTTAATGTAACACTTCTATCCATCCATTCTCTTCCGCTTATTCTTGTCAGGGTGAAAAAGTTATGAAACTTAATTGATGTTAAAATAAATGTCCTGAGAAAGGTTTTAAAGTATTTTACCATGGATCTTCTTTGTCTTCAGCACAGTGGTTAGATCATGGTTACAAGGGTGGAGTTGTTTAGACTCTTGGGTGTGTCCAACAGATGGACACAATATGATGTAATCTGATAACTGTGGTTCAATTCACTTCAGTTTTATTTGTATAGTACCAAATCACAAAAACAGTTTCCTCAAGAATGTCCTTTACAAGTTACAAGTTAAAACCCTACAATAATAATAAAGAGAAAACAGAAAACCTCAACAATCAGATCATGTCCTATGAGCAAGTGTTTTGGTGAGAGTGGAAAGGAAAAACTCCCTTTTAACAGGAAAAAAAAAACAGGAAGAAACCTCCAGAAGAACAAGGCTCAGAGCAGTCATCTAATGCAGTGTTTCCCAACCACTGTGAGTGAAATGATCAGGTGTGCTGTGGAAGATTATCTGGTTCCACCTGATTAGTACTCGCGATTGTGAGTAACGCACAGAACAATTACATTCTCTTCCACTAGAGGGCAGTACAGCTACCTGCTCTAATTAAATGGGTTGCCAATCGCCTGTAAAACAGAAGAAGACGAAGAAGAAATTACATACTAGTCATGCTGTTGGAAGTCGCAGCATGAAATAGCAATAGATAAATATTTGAAAAGAAAAAGTAGTCAATCTGAACTGGGTCCTGCAGAAAGTTCCGACCCAGATGAAGGCCCTAGCATGAGTAGTGGTCAGAAGAAAGCAAAAAATATATATTGTGGACCAGTGTTGGTCAAGTTACTTGAAAAAAGTAATTAGTTACTAAAGTTTTTCCTTTATTGAAAAAAATTAATCCCGTTACTTTACTGATTACTTATTTTCAAAAGTAATTAGTTAATTTTCAAAAACATGATACACAACCTGAATACATAAAAAAGCAATAGACCTTTCAGGCCAATTCTATTTTTTATGCATAATCCATCATATAAAATTGAATCAAATGGAAAGCCTTTTTCTAAAAATTGTTTTATTAGTTTTAATATTATAATTTTTTTTAACGTCATTGTCATGAGACACTCTCACAAACAAAATCATGACAGTTTAGTAACGCAGTAACACAGCGTGCTTACAGGAAAGTAAAAGTAATCTAATGTCTTTTTTTACAATAGTAATCCCTTACATTACTCATTACTTGAAAAAGTAATCGGATTACAGTAACGTGTTACTTGTAATGCACTACTGCCCATTTCTGTTGTGGACAAACCGAGTCAATTTCACTATACCTGGTGCATGGGGAAAAATTATCAATATGCTTTTTGTGACATTTTTGTTTGGTGGTGTGCCGTGTGATTTTTCTAACGTGAAATAGCTCCAAAAGGTTGGGAAACACTGATTGAGAGTGACAGGATGGACAGGATAAAGACTAGCTGTGGAAGATAGCCAGAGATTAATAATAAATAATGATTAAATGCAATGTGGAAAAGGTGATTGAAGAAGAAACACTTAAATAAGTTTTTAAATATTTCCATAAATGGTAAATGGCAAATACTATTCAATGCCTAACTAAAGAAAATACAGAAAACATCCAGTTTAACATCACAGGAGGGCTGGAGCCTCTCCCAGCTGTCACTGAGGAAGAGGCTGGATACACTCTGGACAGGCTGCCAGTCAGTTGGTAGGCATAATGGGTAAATGATAAATTTTATCAGATTATATCAATCACTTTTATAATTTTATATTAAAAAAATATGATTTTCATCTTTGAATTGTACTTTACCTTTAAAACACTTTTTAAAGTAAAAAGATTACAATTTTATTAATTAATAATAAGATCTCAGATTTAATCTAGAATTTTCAAAAAAGAAAAAAAAGTTTTACATTACAACTGGTGTTTTCCATTAATTTCCCCCCAACCTTTGTGACAAAATAAGCGAATACAAAAAAAGAGGTAAAGGGGGGTAATTCATGAAGAAACTTAAAAATATTCTGAGTTTATCCTGAAACTTTAGCCTTGAATTATTTTGGAATTGATATGATGGCTTCAAATGCACACCAGTATAGTGATTATTTAATATGACTTTTGTTGTGGATTTTGCCTCAAACTATACTTCTTCTAAAAAAAGGGGAAAAAAAATCATATTTTGGCTTTATTATTTTTTGATTCAAATTATTACTGTTTAGTAACATTTTTTTATTTTTATTTAAATATTTATTTATTTTTTACCAAAATAGACTTTTTGGTAAAAATTTGACTTTTTCTTGAATCAGGGCAGGGTTTTCTGAAAACGTGAAGTAACTATGGCTTTAGTCTTTAAAAAGCTTTATCTCAAAATTAGTCTGACAACAGTTTTTCTAAACGTACTATCTCTAAACGATTTGTTTGGCTGAAAAGAGACTCCATACATCTGGATTTTTTTTCTCCCCCCCCCCCCCCCCTTGAGTTTCCAGACTGCATCTGTGGCCCGGGGCTGTTCTCGAGAGCAGGGCTCTGTTTCTGCCTTGTTACCTAATTAATTCATAGATCCACCTTAAAAACAGGGCAATCCCGGTCTGGTCCCTCCCCCCTGCTCGCCACCACAAGCTCACCTCCTTCTCTTTCAGTTTCCCAGCTTGGCAGGAAAAGATCTGATCCGGACTTTTGGTGTTTCCTCTGGTCTGGTTGAGTGTGCCGGACCCCACCTCCAGTTCCACCCACCGCTAAGCAACACAAACACACCACCAGTCCTCATTTTCTGGATCTGCTCTTTGTTAACAGAGCCTTTTCCCTCCTCTGCTTTTATTCCAGGAGAGGGAGAGAGTGAGTGAGCGAGAGAAAAAGAGAGGGAGAGAGGGTGAGTTTATCTTCTCCTTTTAAAGGATTCGTTTCTGACTGAATCTGGATCTGGTTTGTTTTCCTTGCTCGGGGCTGCCGCCACCACTGCAGGAACAGAGCTGGTGCCCCTACTGATGTATTTAAAAACGGTTTAAACGTCAGGAACGGTTCAAGGTTTTATCCACCAACCACCACCCGGCCTGTCAGTCATTTTTTTCGCCACTGCAGTTTTCAAGTTGGAGCTCTGCTGGGAAATGGACAAACCCCTCTAAACTAAAGACGCTTCCCAACCGTTCCGACTCAGCCACAGGACGTGATTTGGACGAAGATCCACGGAGTGGAGGTAACGTCTAATCTCAGTGTTTTTTTGCTTCTTAATTAAACTTAACTCACCACGAGTCTGTACAATCTTTCAATTCACTTGTGGCTGAAAGCCAAGAAAGGCTCGCTTAGTCTGTCGGAGACCGTGAAAGTGACATTTTGCTGTGTTTTAAGGGGTCTGTCGTGCCCCCCCCCAAGTTGTCCGCACTGCTCAGCATCCGGGTAACGTTCATAACTGCCGTTTCTTTACCTTGACACCCAATTATTAGCAACTACAGGGAGATTTTTGGGATTTTCCACAGGTGTGAACGCACAATTATCCCAGTCCGACGCACTTTAATACGCATCTTGGCGTATTTTCCTCCCTAATAGCAACAGTGTCTCTTAGAAACCCCGAGTTACGGTTTCTGTCTCTTTCACCTCGCCAAACGTCCCGGCTGTTAGCTAGGTTACAGCCCCGATACGTGCCGTTCCCTCCCTGCAGTCAACGCAGTCGGGTCTTCATTCATAATGCGGACTTTAAAATCCAACTTAAAACGCTTTTCGACAAACTAAAATACCCATAAAGCATACACTGTGATATTGTGCAATAGTTTCTAATCAGACACCTGTAAAATTTACAGACGATGACTCACTTTTGGTGAAAAAAACAACTTTTGAACTGGATACGCACTGCTAGTTAGTTTGCCGCCTGCCAAAGTAAGGAGCCTGCTGGTAAAAGTTGTTATTTTATTCTGAATATTACATTTTTACGTGTCATTGGGGTATGCCGAATTGAAGGGTTGTTTCTAAAAGGTCTGTAAATTGTTATTAATGGCTACAAAATTGCGTTTTCACAAACCCAACAAGGAGATGTAGATCAAAAAGAGCAGATTCTTAATGGCGCTCTGGTGCCAGGTCTCCCCGGGCGACAGCGAGGCACGTATCTGCTGGTGCATTGGCTGCGAGGCAGGAATCAGACCGCCCGCGGATGTCTCCGGGCGCCTGGAAACAATTTGTTAACAGTCTCTGGCTTGAGTGTGTTGCTTTCCGAGTGATATTTCCAGTGGTAACCGGAAAAGGCGCCTTTTACCATCAGAAAAAACACAGGACCTGTGGTAAGTTGGTTAAAAACAGCTCTCTGAGCAGCGAGCGTTGGTTGCTGCGGTTGTTTGTCCCTGTTGTGATATTAATTGTGTATATTTCTGTATCACTGTGGTGTCCTCACACTGTTGACACGAATGTGGCGCCTTCAGGATGAGCTTGTTAAGCTTGTTGGAGTGGTTCCCCCATATTTAGCACTCGCACTGTAAATACTACTTCTGCGTTTTCAAGGCTGCCGGTATTGAACAAGGGTGGAAAAATCGTTACCGACTGCGCTTTATTTTAATTAAGGAAGGACCATCCTTACGTCATCGGCTTATTTGGGCGGATGAGGAGGAGCAGCAGCAGTTCTGCTTCTTTTTCCTCTCTTCTCATTTCATCCATCTCCACCTTCTCCTCCTCCTCCCCTCTGTAGCTGGGTGTGTCCTGCCTTATTGCGTTAGAAAGGAGGGGGGATCCCGCATCTTGGCTCATGAGGTGACTCCTCCTCAGCTTGTGACCTCCAAAAGAGGGCATTGCTCCTTCTGATTTCTGCTGCTGCAAATTATCGGAACATAGAGGGTTTTTGCAAAATGAAATTAGTAGAAAGGGAAACTTTGAAGACTCTTTGCTGAAAAGGGTTGAATTATAAGTATGACAGCAATGACTTTGCTGTTTGCTTGATTCTAAAGGGAAAATGGCTAGTTTTTTGTATTCCACCGAAGTCTGTACAGTTTATCGAGGTTTGGAATGAAATCTGACTATGTGGCTTCCAACCATTATGATAACACCAAGCAAACATTTCAAATTTGAATAACCGTTGTCTCTCAATTCTGGTTAAAGATTTTAACTAGTCCTCCATTCACAAGCACAGCAGGTAGCACTGCCTATTTGGTTTGGCATATTTTGACACCAGATGCTCTTCCTGGCAACCTTGAAAGGTTTTGTGTCTCCCCCCTAGGGCTAGAGAAGGGATCATTTTCTTGTCAGGCAAATGCATTGAGCCACTTTTTTAAGGTCTCGCTTTTGTTTAAACAAGGTTTTGAAAATGACAGTTGAACAAGGGTCGTCTGTTGGACGTACCTCCTTATCACCTAGATGTTCTGGTTGGACTTTCTAACAAATTAAGTCTCTGATAAGGAACTGTTGTATATTATCCTTTTATTTATGGACTACAACAACATAACAAATTAAAAAAAAAAATACTATGAGGGAAACTCAAACTCCTGACCTTTTGACACTGCCAAACTGCCTACTGGCTGTCTTTTCTAGTCAACATCTAGCCTTGGATCAAGCATGGCTCCAAAATAAAGGTTGTGCCAATGTTGGAGACAAACATTTACTGTCTGCTAGGCTTAGTCAAAGGAGCTTGCAAAGAAAGGCGTCTGGACTTCTTTAAATTACTTGAAGACGTTTCACCTCTCATCTGAGAAGCTTCTTCAGTTCTAAGGTCAAATGGTGGAGAGTCCCAGATATATACCTAGTGGGAGTAACCCCCCACAGAGGGACAATAGGACCCCCTAATGATCCTCTAATCGCCTGAGCCAAGGTGTGAAACTGGGTGTGGGTCCCAATCAGCCGGAGTTTCGGGTGAGTTCATTGTGAAACCTGGCCCCACCTTATCATGCGAATTCCTGAGATCAGATGGCCCAGGATGTGAGTGGGCGTTAAGGCGTCTGGGAAGGGATCTCAAAACTGGATTATAGATGGAAGAGAGTTGGTGTCGTAAACCACCGCCTCTGTTCAAAGATGGTCGCTCACAGTGGACATATATGGCTTCTTTCACTCCTCTTTCAAACCATCTGTCCTCTCTGTCCAAAATGTGAACATTGGCATCCTAGAAAGAGTGTCCTTTATCCTTAAGATGCAGATGGACTGCTGAGTCTTGTCCTGTGGAGGTGGCTCTTCTGTGTTGTGCCATGCGCTTGTGAAGTGGCTGTTTGGTCTCTCCAATGTAGAGGTCTGAGCATTCCTTGCTGCACTGTACCGCATACACCACATTGTTAAGTCTGTGTTTTGGCGTTTTGTCTTTCGGGTGAACCAGTTTTTGTCTGAGCGTGTTGCTGGGTCTGAAATGCACCGGGATGTCATGCTTGGAGAAAACTCTCCTGTGTTTTTCTGATACACCGGCTACATAGGGGATGACAATGTTGTTGCGTCTGTCCTTCTTATCCTCCCTCGCTGGTGTCTGGTCTTCTTTTCTGTGCCTCTTTGCTGACTTTAAGAACGCCCATTTAGGATAGAAGCATGTTTTGAGGGCTTCCTTTACGTGTGTGTTCCTTCTCTCTGGCTGATTGGGACCCACACCCAGTTTCACACCTTGGCTCAGGCGATTAGAGGATCATCAGGGGGTCCTTTTGTCCCTCTGTGGGGGGTTACTCCCACTAGGTTTATATCTGGGACTCTCCACCATTTGACCTTAGAACTGAAGAAGCTTCTCGGATGAGAGGGGAAACGTCTTCAAGTAATTTAAAGAAGTCCAGACGCCTTTCTTTGCAAGCTCCTTTGACTACGATGACCTGGATGACTGAGAACCTTCACAGACATATCTGCTAGGCTTACTTTTTCTTGCCTGGGTGTCTTTGTTAGACGTTACAGCAAAGTAAAGTTTATGTTAAACCACTGTTTTATGTTGGTGTCTTGGTTGATATGTGGTTCCAGAATGAAAGTTGAAGACAAAATTTTGCCATCTCTTGCGTGTTATCTTATCAACATCATCTGGACATCCCTGTTGGAAACCCAGCAAACATGGTCAAAAAGCTAAGCTGGTGGTAAACTGGTGATTCTAAATTGTTTGTAGGTGTTAAATGAATGGTAGCATGAATAGTTGTCTGTCTCTGTGTCAGCCTGGAGGCAGGGTCCAGGAAGTACCCATCTTCTTGCCTTTCTTGTGATGGACTCTAGCCCTCCCCGCAACCCTGAATTGGATAAGCAGAAGAAAATGGATGAATGGTCAAGAGAGAGGTCAAGAGTTTGAGTCGGATTTATGGCGTGTTTTCAAGACTAGACATCAAGAAAAGATGGACAGCCAATGGTTATTCAATGTCAAAATGTTTTGGGAAGTCGATGAAAGAATTATTTTATATTAATCTTAATTGAGTAGAAGAAAATGTGACAGAAAACGTTATAATTCAAGATGAGCATAAGAATGCCAGGAAAAACTCCTAAGGACACCCCTGTGTTCACATCATAGGGTCTATAAGGACCCCTTCAATTCACCATACAACAGATGAGACAGGATTCACGCCTAGTTATACATAAGTGGCTTAAAAGTAATGATGATATTTTTAAAAATGGCCATCTGGTAATACTACTCTATATCTATGGAGTAGATGTTATGCGGGTACCTTTTTACAGTCATTTGGTAATCAAATTAGTTGCAAGTCAGTGAATTAGTTGACTAACTAACAAAACATGTTCATTGAATGTCTTCACTGGATAGATCAATGCTATTTCCATGTATAACAATGGTCGTATTAGACCATCTCGTACAGTTTACAGGATTATTTAGATTTCTCATTAAGTGGTTCAAATGAAGTGGTCCTGCCACACCTATGTTGGTGCATCTTGATGTTATTTGTTGCTAAACCTTAACAGCAGCATCACTGATTTTTGCCGCTGAAGGTTAACGCTGTATTTTTGGATAAATAAATTATGAGGTTAAATGGGCGCTGTTTCAGGCAAGGTGGCCTACATCTGATCGAACTAGAACTGAACAGATTAGTTGATTGATCGCTTATATCACTCTAAACTGCTTTGGGTGTCAAGCTGCAGGCTAGACAAATCACCCCAGGCTGTGATTAAACTGTGATGGACATTTTCACTGTTTTCTCACATTATCTATACTCATCAGTTAATTGGGAAACAAATGAACCTCGTTTTCATAATTTTACGATAATTTTAGTCAGGTATGTGAGAGACAGGCAACCTGTTCTGGTAAGTCCAGTGGCAGTTTTATGT